CAGATGACAGGAGGGCAGACCACACCATCAGCAGCACTCCTACTCAGTGTTCCTCCATGCTCTGACAAAACAGTCCTAAACTTCAATCCATTATGTTCTGCAGGTTTTCCCATCGACAAATAAAAAATAAACTCATCTGTTGCGGGTTATTTTGACCTGCATGTTTGTTGTTGTGTAGGTATATATAGCACACATGAGGATAAATGCAGTGTTGGTCTGGTCAGCTTGTCTAAAAGATTTTTAAAATCTCACTGCAGACCAATAGGACTTTATGAGTGTAAGAAAGCATATTTAAAAAATCCAATATATATAAATAAAACACAGGGACAGCAAAAAGTAGAGCTGAAACAGCACCTTTTCTGCTCATTTGATTGCACCCCCTCTGCCTCTACACCACTTCTACCGTCCATGTGCAAAACTGAGGATGAAAATGTAATCTCCTGCACAGTTTGTACAAACAAATAAATGAATCTGACGCCCGAAACAACAGTTGGAACCTGGCTAAAGATAGTCGTTGTCAAAACTGGAAATTGCACTTCCTCATTTGCTTCATTTTTCAACAACAGGAGTTGCCACATGAACATGACACAATACAACAACGCTGCACAACAGCCTCCAACTTGACATACAGCTCACTAAAACTCGCTAGAACTTGGCCCATCCCTCATATTGCATAGCGGTGCATTAGTCAAATGTGTATACTGCTTTAACAAATTACCCCACATTGAACCTGAACATAAAAAAAGAATATGGGTGAAACAGGGACTTGAGCAATTAGCTGTTACCATGGTGAGAATGTAAATAAAGCAAACTTGCACTTGCATTGATAGCTACCTAAACTGTCTCAAAGGGCAGGTCAAAATGAAGTCAGCCAAAACACATCATGCATTTCTGAGTGTGTAGTTTGGGCAAAGCTTTGTATGAACTTTATTTGGCAGATTTTGTGCAGTTAAGGAGTCAGATAAGCAGTGATTAGGCCTTCTAAAGAAACCAGAGCGAGGGAGCGGCGAACAGCACAGAACAGTACAGACATATGAGGGATCCCCTGGATGGTTCAGCACAGAAGGACATGTTTTAAGAGTTTGTTCTTCAGCACAGGAAGGACCGTCCTGTTTTGATGAGAAGTCTATGATCTGGATTAAAATTGATGGCATACCGGGGAGGACTTCTTTCATTTTCCCTCCATGGGAATACAACTGTGATTAATGGTGCTCATTAAAGATCTGTATCTGAAACTGCTACTCCGTCTCATGAAAAAAATATCAAAGCTGAACTATTTTAAATGATTCAAATGACTAAATGACATCAATTCTATCATTGACGCTTTAATGCTGACAAGATGCCCCCAGTTTGATCTCACTATTCCACTAACAGTGTTGGCCTGATGAGCTGCTCCACTTCACTGTGAGATGAAGATAAGGTTTGCTGCTGTGTGTGATATTGAGCTGCAGCCGCCAAGTATTTCCAGTGGAGTGGTGTGACTTGATTTGAGACTGTCGTTTGATGTTTTGGAGCCCTTTCTGAAATAGACCATGCACGTGCATACTGAGGCACATAGATATACTGTACATATGTGAACCACTGCTCCAACTGAAAAAACAAACAAAAAAACAAACAAATAGGCAAAGACTTCTTTACCCACAGGGGATGCAAAAGTTGACACACCCTGAAAGTTCCTCACAGGAGTTTCAAAGGGATATTCTGGTGTAAAATTAAATTCAAACACACAGTAACACTAAGTTAGACACCCCCTTGAGAGATGATTGTTACTGACCGCTTGCTTCTCTAGTTATACCAACTTTTGTAACGACCACACGATAGCAATACACAGTGGTCTAAGGAGCCATAAACAAACCTCAACCAAAACGCCACTCTATAGCCACAAATAATGCTCAGAACAGCACCTAACTTCATCAACAGTACATATAGGGCCCCAGCCACAGCACTAGCCACCAAACATCTTTTTAACTTTGCCTGATTTCTTCAGCAAGGAGACTAAACACAATTCACCATCTCTCATCCAGCAGCCGTTTGTGTGTAGCGAGACCTCGGGCCAGTAAGAGTTAGAAGGACAGAGTAAGACAAGACCACCAGCTCACCATACTTAATCACACTTATTGCTTTTTATCAACTGCAGAAGTTGTCCTTGTTTTTATTTTTCTATTGGTTTAAAATGTTTTGTTCATACATCAAAAACCAAGATAGTTTCTCTGATGCCGAGGTCTGTCAGGCTTCCATGGAAACAGATTTTAATCAGCCCCTTCGCAGGACAAATTAGTATTAAACGTTTTAACCGTAGTCAAGTGAAGACATTAGCCTGCTTATTCACATTAAACCAAACATTTCCATGAAAGGAAAAATCGGACAAAACAGATTAGAGGTTTCTGTCCTCATTCAGCTCTCCTCCTCTGCCTCCTAACCTTGTAGTTGACACACCTTTAATATAAATGAAACAAATGTTGGAGGAGAGGATCCAGCATAAAATAAAAAAAAATCCCCCATGTTGTTTAGCCTATTAGCTTAAAATGATGAGAGAAACTTAGGTTTTTGCCACAGTGTCAACCGACAGACTTGCATGCGGTTACTTTAAAATGACGTGTGTTTAGGTTGTTCCAAGAGTTGGTTCATTATTCATCAATCATCATTGCTGAGGGATTTGAACCAATCAGAATCAAGTATCTTACATAGTCTAATGATTAAACATAACATCTACTGTTCAGAAATGTCCTGTCCTCTGACTCTCAGTAAGAAAATAAATCAGTGTTTCTGTAAAATATGTCCCCAAGCTGTTCTTATGACTTCCTGTCAATGTGAACCAAACTTTGCATTGCTTCACATCATCTCAAACTCCCTGAGTGATTATCCAAAGGAAATATGTATGTACACTCACTGATTAATGTAGAAGTTCTCCCCCCTATACATTTCTTCGTGTTATGGAACTACAGCTCCACTCTCTGGTTGTACAACAGAACTACAGGTATTCAGATAAGGAGCAGGCTGACTATGCAGTTAAGGCTCCTATGAGTGGAAAAAGGGCTGACCTTAAGCTTTTCTTTATTAAAAGCTGACATTATACAAATACATAACCTCACTGACTACACTTTCCTGTGCTTTTATATGCCGCCATTGCAAAAGGCTCCATTGTGTGTGCTGAATATTCAGGTAGTTTGCACAAGTTTGTGCGGTTGAAGTGGGCACCAAGGAGGATGTGCATGTTGTAATGATTGCGGCTTTGTTATGTTGAAGTTGTGATGTAACAGTGACTCAGAGTAAATGGGCTTTGAGACAATACTGAGAAGAGCTCTTGTGGGTGTCCATGAAATGTTCCCCTCTGTGCAGACTAAGACCTGCAGGGAGATCTCTATCTGAAAAATGAGGCAGGATTATGTTTGTTGAACATCTTAAACTTGTGCAGATTTTTGGACAAGCCATTAAGAAACACATTCAGTAAAAAACATAAATGTACTTTTTAAACCCCCAAACACTGTAAATTTAACTTTCATTACACCCTCATCACAGCTGATCACTTATTTCACTCCTATTTTGCCCTTAACTAACTCTTCACTGACCCCTCTGACTCTTTTTACGAATCCGTTTATAAACCCCGATTTAGATAGTTAATCTGGAAAAAGTAATCGGTAGATCTTAGGAGTGATAATCTGTGTATTGGCTGATGTGAATACTCATGTTAAACTCTTTTTTAATCCCATTAATCATATACTATTTAGAGAGAAAGAGTTATTCTTGTTATCTGTCTTGAGACACCCCTTTGTAATGTTAAGTCCCAGAGAATTTTGATTGGCTGCAGCGTCCAATCAATGAGAGACATTAAATACCAGGGTGTGACTGTCCATTGCAATAAATCTGTGAAGGCTCCACTTGTATATCATCCTCCATCAGTCATCGAAGTTCCCTCCTCTCTCCTCAATCTTGTCTCCACTTAGCAACATCGATAACTTTGGGCTTCTTCTTGACATGGCAGGACTAGTGCACTCAAACAGACTTGGATTAGATCAGATACAACTGTATTTATCCTTTTTGAAGTCCCATCAAGGAGATTAAAAAGCTGCACCAGACCCTGACATATAATGCATCTTAGCTTGCACACACGTGGCCCATTCAATGCGACTTGTGGCCCCAATTGTGCTTTTATTTCTTATCAATCAAACCCATCAATATTTATTTGTATAGCGCCAATTCACAACAGTCGTCATCCCAAAGAAAAAGAGCAGGTCTAGACCACACTCATAGTTTGATGAACTATCAACACCCAACCTGAGACGGGATTTGAGCAGGACCAGACTCATGCTAGACAGCCACCAGGCCGCTGCTGGGTTGGGAAGGAATACAGAGAGATAGGGGTAGAGAGAGAGAGAGAGAGAGAGAGAGAGAGAGAGAGAGAGAGAGAGAGAGAGAGAGAGGGTGTGAGAGAGAGAGACAGGGGACAGCAGCAACATTAAAACAACAGCAACAACAACAACAGCTCATGCAAAGTTGTGGTTAAAGAGCAAGTAATGATGAAACGATATGAATTTAGTTTACAGGAAATAAGTAATTATGGACTATGTTAAATTAATTTCACATGATTACAGTCAGCAGATCTAATAGTAGTTAACTCTGGCTTTATGTTATTAATGTCGATGAGGCTGATGTTCATGTCTGCAGCAACAGTCCAGAGGAACCTAAGAGAAGAAGAAACTCAGGACCTGAGGTGGACAATCAAGGACATTTCATTTAAATACTTTAGGAAGCAGGACTAGTGCGCTCAAACAGACTTGGATTAGATTAGATACAACTGTATTTATTATTTTGGGATTATTTTTCCCTCAATGAATTTTGTACACATTTTTAACCAATTTTTTAAAAGAAAGTTAATGAAAACATGAATAGAAAAGAGAACCATGATATAAGATTTTAAACAATCAAAAGGTTCCCTCAGTAACCCCTTGGCGGCGCCGCTTGGCAGATAACTCAATGCGCTGACTCGAAGAAGAAGAGTCACCGGAAATAAACCTTTCACCTCTGCTGCCGTGCATGAGGTTGGCGGGCTGCTAGAGTTGTGTGTAAAAGTTGTATTTGTTTAGAATTTCAGCGGAATTGGGACACGTATTAAAGACATTCAATACCACGCGGATAATTTCCAACCGGGTAAACCTACAAGTTAGTTAAAACGCGCTTTATTTTAGTCCTACTTTCATTTTTAGTTAGCCTGTTGCTAAACAGTGTTTCAAATGTTAGCTAACGGACCGGTGTTCTCATGCCTGCCTGCGTGTATCAGTTTTCTCAGATATGTGTGAATTATTTTGAGGTTTGCATTTATTTTTCTCTGTTTTCCCCTTAATTCTGTCTGAACGTATTGATTATGTAGGTAAATAAGCGGGGGTAGCTCAGCCATGCCGTCCAGCGCTGGAGCCAGCAGCCCCGCCGCTGCTCTCGCTGAAGCTCTGGAGAACTCCTCCAGACTCATAGACAAACACCTGCAGGATGACCGCCTCTTTCCTGACCTGTCAGAGCTGCTCAGCGTCCCCTCTCACAGTGAGTACAAGATAAGACCTGTTGGTATACACAATATCATTACAGAGTTAGTTATCAAAACCTTGATTCAAATACTGACACAGAGAAATTGGTGCTGCGATACTACGTTAAAGGGATATTGGTGTAAAATTAATTTAGGGTCAAACACGCTGTAACACCGAGTTAGACACCCCCTCGGAAGATGATTGTTGCCGACCAGTTGCTTCTCTAGTTATACCAACTTTAGTAATGACCGCAGGATAACAATACACAGCAGTCTGAGCAGCCATAAACAAACATCAACCAATGTTCTTCCTTGAGCTGCGTCACCCCGCAGCAGTCGAAGGACTCGCCTGGAGGTCTCCGTACAAACAAGCGGTTGCTGGAAGAGAGTTGGTGAGTTGTGTTTAGTCTCTTTGCTAATGAAAGTTAAAAAGATGTTTGGTGACAGTACTATGGCTGGGACCCTCTATGTACTGTTGATGAAGTTGGGTGCTGTTCTGAGCATTATTTGTGGCTATAGAGCGTTTTGGTTGAGCATGTGGCTCTCTGTATTGCTATCATGCGGTCGTTACTAAAGTTGGAATAACCAGAGAAACAAGCGGTCGGCAACATTCATCTCTCAACGGTGTGTTTGCCCCTAACTTAATTGTACGCTGGGATATCCCTTTAAAAATGTGAAGTATACAAGGCGAATCCATAATAATTGGGATTGGAAATTACCATTTGAAGTTGTGCGTAATTAGACTTGTTCATTGTCACTTGTGTTTATAGATATGCCATCCCTCTCTGGGGTGTCAGACATGGACTACCCCCTCCAGGGACCTGGTTTACTCAGTGTGCCAAATCTTCCGGAGCTCAGTGCAGTCCGCCGGGTGCCTCTGCCACCTGAGCTGGTGGAACAGTTCAGCCGTATCCTTTCCCTCCTCTCAGAAATATAGAACTGAAGTTTTAATGAAGAATGAAGACTAAAATCCCAATCTGTTAAATCTTGTTTCCTAAACTTTGAATTTGATTTTAACTTAACCGATTTACAGATATGCAATTCAACTGCATGATGGGGGTTTTTCCTGAGATCTGCAGAGCTTGGCTCACTATTGATAACGACATCTTCATGTGGAATTATGAAGATGGGTAAGTTGAAGAAGTGTATGTGAAGTGGAAGTGTTTGAATGTTTAGAATGTTAATGTAATTTACTGTTTTGTTTGTTGTAGGGGTGACGTTGCCTATTTTGATGGCCTTATTGAAACCATTCTGGCAGTGGGCCTTGTAAAACCAAAACAAGGTACCTGTAAACCCATAACATCTACACCGGCTACCTGAATTCTATCAAATTTGAGAAGTTTCCTAAAGTTTTTTTTCTCTTTCAGGTATTTTACAGCCGCACATTCATTACCTCTTGGTACTGGCCACCTCTGTGGATGTTGTGATTCTTGGACTGAGCTTCCCCAAGAGCACAGCCGGTGAGTCTCACCTTGGATGATATGCAAAAACACTGCTTATTTCAGGCTTTCTTGTAGTAGCTGATTATGGCGCAGGCAGAAAGAAATTATGTTCTTCTGCTTCTTGTCTTCGAATTTAGGCGGGGGGGTCAAATCCAGTTCTGTTGAGGATCTGTTTTTTTAATCAATGACATTTATCTCTTCTATTGTCCTACTTTTGTCATAGGCTTGAACGACAGCATGACAGGTGGAATGCAGCTGCTCCCAGACCCCCTCTTCTCCATCCCCACTGACAACACCTACATCCTGTCCATCACCTCCACCGACCTGGGACGCATTTTTATGGCAGGAAAGGACGGCTGCCTCTATGAGGTAGCTTACCAGGCTGAGGCTGGATGGCTGAGCCAACGCTGCAGGAAAATCAACCACTCCAAGAGTTCGCTGTCCTTCCTAATTCCCTCTGTGCTCCAGTTCTCCTTCTCTGAAGATGGTAAAAGAAAAAAGCACATGTGTAGAGCAGAAGATGTTCATTATCTAAAATTTTACCTTTAAAACTTTTCTTTTACAATCCACAGATCCCATTGTGCAGATTGCTATCGACAACTCACGAAACATTCTTTACACACGCTCAGAGAAAGACGTCCTGCAGGTATGACGCCTATTTTTTTGCATGTGTGACTGTTTTGACTTCTTCAAAAACAGACAAATCTTCTGATTAATAGTTTTCTGAAGTGATTTCAAGTGTTTCTGTTTTGCCTCTCATCAGGTGTATGACCTGGGGGCTGATGGTCAGGGTATGAGCCGTGTTGCAACCATGTCCCAGAGCACAATTGTTGGATCTGCTGGAAACATAGCAAGGTATGCTTGGGGGTTTGATAACCATCAAACACACTTCTATCTTTTATTTCTTCAAAGAAAGGTAACAGAGATTCCCTTCTCTTTTAAACCTGTATCTGCAGAACAATCGATCGTTCTGTCTTCAAGCCGATTGTCCAGATATCTGTGATTGACAGATCTGAGTCCTCAGACTGTCACCTGCTCGCCGTCACTCATGCAGGTAAGCTTTATGAGACAGTAATAGCAAAACGAACACTAGCTGGCCACAAGAGATACTTTTTATGTATGCCTTAACACTCTTTTTCTGTAGGTGTGCGCCTCTACTTCAGCACCACCCCCTTTGCCCCTCCTCACCAGAAGACTGCAGCCGTTCGACCCAGCTTGCTCGCTCTGGTCCATGTCCGTCTGCCTCCAGGGTTTTCTGCATCCTCTACCCTGCAGAAACCAGCAAAAGTCCATAAAGCACTACACAGCAAAGGTAAAACAAGCAACCCCCTGAGAAAATAGTTGAGATGCCTGCTAGCTTTTAGTTTTACTTTTTAAACCAGATTTCTGGATTTCCTGAAATACTTGAGTGTCTTTTCTTTCTTCGAATCACGCAGGTGTTCTGTTAATGGCCGCTTCTGAGGTGGAGGACAGTGACCTGCTCTGGTGCATTAACCATGACTCCTTCCCCTTCAAGAAACCTTTAATGGAGACTCAGGTTGGCTCACAAGAAGTGCAAATTGATGAAAAGGTTGCGTGCAAATTAGTGTCATGCCACCATCTGTTTTTCGCATCAGAGCTGTGATTATACGCCTAATTTTCCTCTGTATTCATTCGTAGATGATGTCCAATGTCGATGGGCACACTTGGGCTATCTGTGCTCTGAATGAGGAGAAGCCGGGCAAGATTTCCACTCCTCTAAACAAGGACCTGATCCCCATCACTGATTCCCCTGTGGTGGTGCAGCAGCATTACATCCCTCCACAGAAGTTTGTCCTTCTCTCTGCAAAGGTTAAAACTGCTGGCTTCTTGCTTCAAACATTAGTTTTATGTTGCTATACTGACAATACAACACAGTACCTCTGCTGAGCGCACTAAGTGTAGAATCCTTGATGTCCTGTAGGGGAGCCATATCTTCCAAAAGCTGCGGCCAGTAGACCAGCTGCGCCACCTACTGGTGAGCTGCGCAGGAGGAGAGAGTGAGGATGTTGAACGCTTCTTCAAGCTGCACAGGGTACAGGACATGTTATTCACTGTTAGTATGATCATTTTTATTAAAGACTCCTATCATGGCTTTTGAGGTGAACTGCTGATCTTGTGTTTGTAGGAGGAGCAGGCTTGTGCCACAGCGCTGATCCTGGCATGTTCCAACGCTGCGTGTGACAGAGAGGTTTCACAGTGGGCCACTCGAGCCTTCTTCAGGTCAGATAACTTAATCTAATGGGGTCTTACTTTTTTAGACATTGTGGATTTTCAATTATCTACTGCTCGGTTGCATGGTGCAAGAGAGGACAACGTTAATATTTGGTCTCTTTGGCTGAGAAGATAAAGGAGATGGTCTGATTTACTTATTATTATTATTTTTTATATTATACTATATTTGTTATACTATATTATATTCTGTTCTTGTTGGACTGGGGTGGGGGGTATATATGTATGTATAATTTTTTCCTTATTTTTTTCTTTTTTGTTTTTCTTTTTGTAAAATTGAAACCGATTTTATTCTACCCTAATTTAGATTTAATTCTAATTTAATTCTACTCTACCCTAAAAAATAAAAATTGATCAAAAAAAAAAAGAAAAAAAAAACTGTATCCATTTTGGTGCATATTCAAACTAACTCATACTGTGTAAATTAAAAACAGTTTCTCTCTTTTTTTTTTTTTTTAAGGTATGGAGGTGAAGCACAGATGAGGTTCCCCGCTGCCTTGGCATCCCCGAGCAATGTTGGACCTGTGATGAGCTCACCTGCACCAGGTAAATTAGGAAGCTCTGATCAGCTGGTCTGGAGGAATAAAAGAAATAAACCAACAAAATTCTAATTCTTTCAAACTCATTGCAACACCATGCATGACCAATTTTCCAACATTATATTCATCTAAAATGTTATTTTCCAAAAACATTAACAAAGCCTAGAACAACACCAGCATTAGATTGTAAATGTGTCTTTTCCCACTCTTTAGGTGTTGTTCCCCCGGCTCTGGCCACGCCTTTTGTACCTATGCACGCTGGTTCGGCCCCCATCACACCCATGTCAGCAGGCCCAGAGGTGATCTTCTCAGGGAAACACAACGGCATCTGTATTTACTTTGCCCGCATCCTTGGGTAAGTTAATCCTGCCACCATTTGTCCCACTAACACATTTTCCATCTCTTAAGAGCAAGGAGAAAAAAAATGTCACCTGAGTCCTTTCTTGAGTGTGATGATGGTGTCTTCACTGTAAACACATCCTCCTCTTGTTCTCTGCTGACCTCACTTTAACAGAAATATCTGGGACGGCAGCCTTGCTGTGGAGAAAACCATGAGCAAAGGAAACCAGACTGTTAGTATTGTGAGTATCACAAGCGCAGCGATCACTTTCATTGTTTATTGGTGATTTAAATTCATTGATTTATTAAGTTTTTTTTTTTAGAAGTGATAAGATAATTCTCTCTCTCATCTGTCGTCCTCACAGCTGGAAAGCAGTGTCGGTATGTTTGATCTGGAGTCGGTACTCCTGGAGCTCTTGGGTCTGCGGGAGTTTCTGGATAAAAACTCTCAGTTCAGTCCATCCTCTCTCGGCGTTGCGCAGTAAGAGCTCCTTCTTTCTCTGCTTGTAAAACACTAATCAATGTGTCTAATCTACTCACACTCACACACGTCGGCAGACAGGCGTCCTTATCAGACGATCACTCTTTCACAGATTAAACCATCATTCAAGTTTATTCCACAGCAGTAAACTTGCCTTGTTGTTCTCACTGGCAGATTCAAATAATTAAGCACAGTCCAAGTTATAAAAGTTAATCAGTTGTACATGTGTGCGATCCGGATGCTCCTTTGACCTTTGAGTTCAATTGCTTAATGACCCTTGAAACTTCCTGTTACAAACTTCCGCAAGGAAATAACTCAAGGCTTCCTTTTCCATACTCAACAGTTTCAGTCCATTTTGTAACTTCAAAGGCGAAGGTGAAAATTATCCAAAAGTCTGGAAATCTGAGCATCGATCCCTGATTTTTTAAAAATGATCCTGAACTGATTCTTAGCTGCATTTGCCTACAAGTATCTGAGAGACAAACAAATAGTTTATCTTCTGCAATTTAAGTTTTTCGTTTGCACTAACCCAGATAACCAAGTTACTTCCCATCCAAAGTTCTCTAAGTACAGAGATTACCTCTGTGGCTTCTCTCTGCATGAAAGTGGAATCAGCTACAGGATCCATGTGTAGCAAAAGCTCTGCTGCTACAGTCTCCTCACTTCTCATCCCTCACAAATAACATCTGTTCATTTCCCTGATAGCTTCAACTCCCCTGCCAACTTGCAGCAAAGGCTGCTGGGATTTATGCGTCCTGATGGAGCCAACTCCCAGCAGGTCCAACAGGAGCTCCAGAGAAAATATCACAGTGAGTTATGAGTGCAGGTGTCCACGTTTTAACAGTTATAGTCTAAATATTAGTAATTGTACAGTTCTTGTCGGAGATGAAAACAGAAAATTAAGAGCTTTACTCCACCGGGATAGTCTCCTCATTTACCTTCCTGTGACTCTTGTCTCTTAATGTCTGTGTCTTTCTCCAGCCAAGGCTCAGGTCTATGAGAAAGTGTCCCTGCAGGGCATCCAGCAGCTCGTGCATCGCTCCTATCAGACTCTGGCCCTCTGGAAGCTTCTCTGCGATCATCAGTTCAGCCTCATTATGTCTGAGCTGCCAAAGGTACACATTAGGGATATTCGTGTAAACGGGGCTGTCCTTATTATCCGTTCAGTAAATAATATTAGTTTATTCCACAAGATAAAAAAAAAAGAAAAGGGGAAAATTTTAAATTACGTTTTTACCGTCTTAATAAAAGTATGCATTAAACAAGCTAAAATGTGTGGATCATTTGCGTGCGACTCTTTCTGCCTGGCTTGCTGCTCTGGGCTCAAAGCGCTGGCCTGCAGCATGCATGGCATCGTGGGTTAACTTCCTCAGAGTGAATCAGCACATGGGATCAGCCAGAGCGATGTCGGTGAGAAAAAAGAGCAAAGTTTGGGAGTATTTTGATTTATGTTGTCTGACTCTGAAGACTGACTCTTATGGTGTGAGGCAGGCCGATGACGCAGCAGCCTGCTTGGCTTGAGCGGAGCTTAATTGCTTTGATCTTTACGTACTTTATGTCATTCTCCAGCGCTAAAATAAGATTCTCTAACATATTTTAATATTATAAGCATGGCTTTCATGTACTCTTCATATTTATTTCAGATGATATCTGGCCATATAGATCGACATGTGCTCAATTTGGGTTATTTTCTGAGAGTAAATTAATTTTCGTGTATTCGAATATTCGGTTTCAAAATGGTCGTTTAAACGTCAGTGAAATTAACCGCTGGGAACATCCTGAGTACACATGTTCAGTAACCCGTCTGTTGAAGATAATAAATGTAACACCTTTATGTTTTCAGACAAATAACCTGCTGTGTGAAGCCGCCATCTCACAGATCTTTCTGCCTCTTTGTCGTGTATTCACAGGAGTTTCAAGAGCAGATGAAAGGAGCGAGTTTTAAGGATGTTGTGATCCGGGGCAAGGAGCTGTCTGGAGCCCTGATCACAGCACTCATTAACGTCTACATCAAAGATAATGCCTCCGTGGATGCGATCAGTAATCACCTGCGAGACATCTGTCCCCTGCTGTACAGCAGCGACGACAACATTTGCTCCAAGGTACAACGGCGAGCTGTATTCTGATTCCTCAACAGCATTAAATTTTAGGAAATGAAGAACTGCAGATACAGCTAAACCTGTTAGTCTTTATTACAGCCTTCGGGGGTCTGCCATTTTTTATTTCATTAAAAGTCTCAGTGCTTTCACATTTCCTGCAGTCCTCGGGGTAATTTTGCATCAAGATCATTAAAAGGCATCGATTCACCTGCATTGATTTATGTCTTTTTAAAGAATTGTTGCTTTTGTCTCCCACTTAGGCTAATGAGCTGCTGCAGAGCTCCAAGCAGATTCAGAATAAAGCAGATAAGGAGAGGAAACTGCGGGAGTCTCTTCAGCTCTATCAGCAGATCAGCCAGCACACGGACCTGCCGCTGGTCTGCTCGCAGTACAGGCAAGGTGAGGAACCCTCCCCCTTCACTCAGGATTATTCGCTCATATCTTAATTTGTCCGCTTTTTAACACCAACACTGTTGCTCAATGGTCTCAGTGCGTTTCTACGAGGGCGTCCTTGAGTTGTGCCTCACAGCAGCAGACAAGAAGGATCCACAGAGACTGGGACCCCACTTCTACAAGAACAGAGAGCCTGAGGACGACAGAGTGGGGCAGCAAGCCTTCCAGGAAAGGTAACAAGTCAGACACAAAGTCAGAACAAGCTTTCGAATCAAGCCGTCACCATCAAATGTTTCTCCTTCCTCCCTCTGTCCCAGACTTTCCTGTTATAAGTGCATCACAGACACCATGCAGGAGCTGGTAAACCAGAGCAAAGCCGCCCCTCAGTCCCCCAGCGTCCCCAAGCAGCCCGGGCCTCCCGTCATGACCTCTGACCCCAACATGCTCAGCAACGAGGAAGCTACGGCTCACGTAAGAAAGACGAGGGACAGCTGGAGCTTGTGTTGTGACAGCGGTGTACATGATCGGCATGATTAATGGAAATATGTCACTCTCTCTGCAGTTTGAGCAGATCCTCGGTCTGGCTCAGAGGTCTCAGGACGAGCTGTTTCACATCGCTCTCTACAACTGGCTGATTCAGGCCGATCTGACGGACAAGCTGCTGGAGGTAGTCCGTCTGATCATCAGTGCTTTGTTAAGATACAAGCAGCTGTTAAAAAAACAGAGTTTCTGTATCATTAATGGATGTGCCAATAAGTACATTCCCTCTGACTGAAATGTATCCATATTTTAGAGCCCCAGACTCCCACTGGTTCTTATTTATTCTTATAAATTAAATCACCAAACAGCTGTTTCTAGTTAAAATGGAAAATGTAGAAGAAATTTAATGCATCCATCTATTTCACAGTCGGTGTTTCTGCTTGAATTTTGTCGGTTTGTTTACTTTTTTTTCTCCCTCAGTAACATTTCAATAATAAACCTTTTTTTTCCAGGTGAATTCTCCGTACCTGGAGGAACATCTGATGCATATGATCAAGCAGGACCAGAGTAAGGTGCACAACATGGACCTGCTGTGGCGTTACTACGAGAAGAACCGCAACTTTGGCAAGGCGGCCCACGTGCTGGCCCGCCTGGCAGACATGCACAGGTATTATCACTCACAACAACTGAAAAATAACAGCCACTGTTTTGGATGATGTCAGGGATTGTACAACGATGTGCAAATCAGAATCTCGACAGGGTGGGGCAAGACCCCAAAACACCAGCAGGGGCGAAATGACTTGGTTGAATTCACATTTTCTACTTTTATTCACAGTTAAGTCTTAACATTAGCATTATTTCTTGGCTGTACTATAACAGCAGCTCCTGCATAAGGTCCTTTACTTTGTGAGTTTTTTGTTAGTGTTTTTTTTTTTCTCTCTCACTCAGCCAGGACTGCAGCACTGCCAAATCCCAGATTGGGGTGCAGCTTGTCGTTGCTTGATTCCTTTTTCCCCCCAGTATGAACAGCGTCTCTTTGACTTTGCTCCCTGTGTGTTCAATTACCCCTCACTGTTAGTCACTTTTTTTCACTGTTGTGTCTGGTCAGCCTTTAACCACTCATGCATCGTTTGGCGCTCCCAGTGAGTTGGCTTCTGATGTTACCAAGAGGAAATCATTGATTGTACTCGAGTTGTGCGTAACTCTTTTCCACAGATTGCAGATATGTGTGTTGTGTATGATCAGGTTGTCCCTATTTAGAATAAATAAACATAGTTAAGGAGAATTTAACCAATCAGAACGAAGTGTTTGACACAGCCAGGTGATCAGAAATACAGCGACAAAATTAGCAAAAATATTTCTCACACTTTCTATATACTTACACACATTTTCTTAAGGGTTTTTCTTATTATTAAAATTGTACGAACCGTATGTTTACATTTTACTCTAATCTAAGTGAAGACATGATTTTAAAAAAACGTCCTGTGTTCTCCGACCACGCAGCACTGAGATCTCACTGAAGCAGCGTTTGGAGTACATCGCCCGCGCCATCCTGTCTGCTAAGAGTTCTTCCTGCATCTCAGCTCAGGCATCGGATGGAGAGTTTCTTCACGAGCTGGAAGAAAAGATGGAGGTATGTTTGCGAGACGATCACAGTAAAAGGAATCTAAAAACAACACAACTAAGTATGATGCATGAATGAAATTAACAGTTGTAACTTTCCCTGCCGAGTGAAATAAATGTAATTTGATAACGACATGAGGCGTAGTACTTTAAGATATATGGGACAGGGTTCCTACACTGGTGGAATTTCCATACCTTACTTTTTCGAATTATTTTTTGGAAACACCTTCTTTTCTATCTTAGAAAACTGTATTTTATAACTATGGTTTGTAATCTGTAAACATAAATATTTTTCCATACTTTATTTTTCATTTACTTTTTAAGACCTGGAAATTGATCAAATTACTTCCATACTTGATGGAAGAAAGCATATTAGAAGCTTTCCCCAGCGTGTCCTTCCTGCACTCAAAATGAATCTGAGGGTTTCTTTTTTAACCTCTAAATTGGCACCAATGTTCCCCGATGATAACTGACAGCTCATAGAAGTGTAACTGAGTGCTGCTAAATGGTGTGAAAGTACAGCCATCATACTGAAATGTAAGCACACCGAGTGAGAAAGCGTTACTTGATGCGATGTGTTTTCACTGTGATGATGAAGAAATTGTGATTTATTCAACAGAACTAGTTGCAGCTACTTAGTCGTCTCTTTTTTTTTTTACCCCTTGACCAGCTGGTGCGCATCCAAGTCCAGATTCAGGAGACCCTGATCAGACAGTACTCCCATCATCCCTCAGTGAAAAACGTCATTTCCCAGTTGGACTCTGAGCTGATGGACATCACTAAGGTAACGCGAGCAGATGTTGCAAATCTGGGTTTGTGATCGATTAAAACGTTTATTTACAGTGAAGAAATGTCTGTAAACACTGCTGAATTTCCTCTGGTGTAGCTCTACGGGGAGTTTGCCGACCATTTCAAACTTTCCGAGTGCAAGCTGGCCATCATCCACTGCGCGGGACACTCTGACCCCATCCTGGTGCACTCGCTGTGGCAGGAGATCATGGAGAAAGGCAAGTGAAGCGTTCATCCAGGGCTAGCTAAAAGCTAAACCATTTCATCAATTTCTTTCCTGTTCTTGCCACATTTGATGCTGGTTTCAGTGCTGATTGTTTTGTCTCGGGTAGAACTCGGAGACTCTGTGGCCATGAGTCCAGTAGACAGGATGAGATCGCTCAGTTTGAAGCTGGTCTCACTGGGGAAGATTTATGCTGGAACGCCGAGATATTTCCCTCTGGGTGAGCTTTGAAACCTTCCTGTTATTATCTTCAGTTTTCCTCTCGTTATAAATTTCCACCTGGCTGTTTTCTGTTTAGATCACAGTAGTACAATTAGAATTCCCCTTTGCATCATTTCATACACATGCATGTCCCTGAGGTACTGGTCTGCAAGGTGAAACTGGTGTTCTGTATGAGTGCTCAATTATCCTCCCATTAACATCAGCCTGTGCAAACCTGCGCTCTCTGAGGAGACCATCATAGATCCTGTGTATATCCTGCTCACACAAATGCAGAGTACTAATGGACGCATTGAAAGAAAGTGAAGTAATGCTGACAGCTGCTGATGCGTCTTTTTGATTTGCAGAGTTTCTAGTCAAGTTTCTGGAGCAGGAAGTTTGTCGGCTAAACTGGGACGTGGGCTTCGTCACCTCCACCATGCAGGAGATTGGAGTCCAGCTTCCCCGCCTTCTGGAGGTCTACGACCAACTCTTCAAAACTCGGGTATAAACTGAAAAACAGTCTGCCCTTTTGTTTTAAAATTTTATAAACACTTTTAAACAACAGGTGTGGCCTCTTTTAGATTGAGGATTACACGTTGTGTTCAGGGTTCCTACACAATTGGAATTTCCATACTTTTCCAGACCCTATTTTTAGAATTATTTTCAGAAATACCGACTTTTCTATTTTATAAAACAGTATTTTATAACTGTGGTAATATAGTCTGTTAACATCAATATTTTTCCATACTTAATTTTTCCTTTACCGTACTTTTTAAGACCTGGAAATTGATCAAATTACTTCCATACCTCCCATACTTGCGTAGGAACTGTGTGTGTTTTTAATCCATGAGTTTGTTGTCATTTCTTGCTCGTAGGATCCTTGTTGGCAGCGTCTGAAGAAACCTCTGCACCTGGTGGAGTGTATCCATGTGCTTCTGTCAGGATACGTAGATGATCCCAGTAGAGTACCAACCTACGATAGGTAAGAGCTGTCTGAGTCGATGTGTCAGCCTTTTTTTTCACTGAGCATACAGTTCCTTGTTGTTGTACAAACTCACGCTGTTTCCAAACCAAAGTGTCCAGAACCTTCCCTGTTTACTCACTGTATCACAAGCTGCTGTAGATAAAATCCTAATCCTGTTGTTGGATTAAACCTTCCAGAAAAGAAATGTTCATTTTGATCAAACTGAACATTTTAATACGTGTATTTCCTGTGGAAACAGCAGACATTACTCCATGAGAATAAGCTCCGATCTTGATCACATTGGGGCTTTTTTTTTTTTTAAGATAATACAAAAAATCCAACATGCTCATTATTTTCCAAGCTTGATGTCTGAGTAATTCCTCTGATCACTCAACGAGGTCGGATAGGTTTGCATCACAGGAAATCCTGGTTTGAAGGATTGTTCAACATTCAAGGGTCTTTATTAAATATTGACCAGACTCCCGTACATAAATCAAAGGATGATTGGCTGCTGTGATTAGTTGTCAGCCTTGAACTGTGTAAAAATGAAAAATAATCTTAGAGATGTCACCTACTGGGGGTCGCCATATTAGAAATGCTGACTCTAACTTTAGAGAAATGGAGGAACATTCACAGATGTTGAGTTTAGGTAATCCTGAAGTCTCAAAGTCACCTGTGAGTGAGCTCACCATGCCTTCAATTATGCGTGTTTGTACACAAGTATTAGGTGAGTTTTTTTTTTACCATCTAAAAGTTGGACTAAGTGAGTTAAACTAATAAAACTTCACTAACTCGATCTGTAAGTCCACAAACCAAGCCCCTGAGATGTTAAAATGTTCTGTTCAAGTTTGATCTCAGGACCCGTTTCCTGGATCAGTTTAGGTCAGGGTTCACCAAATCGGGCCCATCAGAACGTCTCAAACACATTTCTACCCTTTGTGTTACTGAGCTACTAAACCCCGTTCAGGGAATTAGACACAAACTTTGGAACCACATTGTTTCAGTCGCTTAGACCGCTAAAGCCCCAGATTAGTTTGGAAGAGTGTCTGCCAGAACCCGCCCTAACCTCCCTGTAAACTTGATTATCAGCTTGTTTCTTCTGTATTCCAGGCGCCGCTTCACTAATGTATGTCTTGACAACATCTGCGGATACCTGGTGGAGCTTCAGTCTCTGAGCCCAAACTCTGCCCTACAACAAACCATCGGAAACTTCAAGTCACTGCAGGCCAAACTGGAAAAACTTCATTGACATTGCTCATGATGTTCTTCTCAGGCCAAAGGACAGGTGACTGTACTGATGTTGCACTGATCACTGGGCCTGATCGAGTGGATTGCGTGTGCGTGTGTGATAACAAGATCAGCACAGAAAACATGATGTCTGTATTTATCTGTAGTTTGCCACCTTTTATTGTCAGCCTGATATGTTGTGGTTTTGGGAATGCCTGTAGAGACACAGTGAGAGCAGGAGAGAGATAAAGAGACAAAGAGAGAAGTTTTATAACTTATTTAATACATTTTGTTATAAGTCTAAACATAATGCTGGAATACAACTTTGAAAAGAAAGACACTAGTGGTTATTTGCATTGTCTGCAAGTAGCGGTGCCAAATATCTGAAATTAATGACAACATATTGAGGTGTTTTTTTTAAAGAAATTGAAATTTCTCTGAATTTTTCATGGTTGTTTTTCATATTTTGACAATGCACTTATCACTTATAGACTAAAGATATTTTGATAAGGTTCCACTCGTTTAAAATACCATTTGAGCACAGAGGAATAATTTTGATTGTTCTACTTTTTCCTCCAAACAAACAGTTCAGTGTTTAACGTTGTAATTATGTACATAACTCGACCATTAAGTCAGATCCTCTGTCAAAGGCGGGGACACAGCTTAACCCTTTTTCTTGTGAAGTATTTACAGTTTGCATTTTGTGTACTTGGATGATAAGTTTGACCGTGTCCTTGAGTGTGAGTGCTCTTGTTGAGATACATTTGTCACACTGTGAGGTTCACAGTGCTTTACTGAATGGGGAAGAAAAACATAAAAACTTTTATAAAGAAATAAAACTTGTCCTTAGTTTTGTGCACGAGGATGTTTTGAATACTTTAGTTTTTATGGATGACTTCTCATCCCTGAATAAAGTTGTGTTCCAGGGTACAAATTTATGATCAGTTTAACCAACAGCAATGATGAGCACAGAGGGGATTCGGTTGCTTTGGGTTGATTAATGTGACCTTGCTGAGGGACTCCAATAATGTACTAGTTGTCATCACTGTTCATGTTTACATAATTAACTTTAATTAAAAATGGCACCCAGGGTTTCACACAGTCATCAAAAACAGATTAGTAACTGCTGAAGGTCTTTTCCTCCAATTATCTGTGCACTCAAGAACACAATTATATTTAATTTTAAGCCTCATTTAAAAAGTTTGTATTTATTGTACATTAAGATTTTTTAATGTATTTGTTGACAACTCAGTGACACACATGTAAAGTATATAAAAAGCACAGAATTCATGGAGAGGCAGCTAAAAATACTACTAGTCTTAGCATTTAATCAGTTATTATGCTGCTACTCAATATGCTCATCCAAATATACCCACTCATCTTAATCATACATTTCATACATTCAGTCAGGAAAACAGTTTACGTTTCAAAGCCATAGTCTTTTTTTAGCAGTTACAGAATCTAAGAGTAAAAATGGATGTGCTTTACATAACTAACGTTTGCATGAGCAAGACAGCTTTTTCACTCCATGCAGGAATATATATGGAATAATGCAGGTGTAGGAGGCTGCAACATAACTGGCCACCTCCACCACTAATGAAGAGGTGTGGATGTTGTTGGTGATGCGCAGAAGTATATGAGTCAGCCAGCAGACCAGGAACACACTTGCTACCGCCACCACACTCTTGGCTGCCCTCACCTGAGAGGTTGAACTGGAGCTGGATTTAGCCGGCATCTGGTTTGGCTTTGAGAGAGTTGGGGGAGCTTCAGCTCTGCTGCCTGTGTTTGGTTCCCTGTCCTTGGAGGGGGAGCTCTTAGAGCTTTGACCTGACAGGCCTCCATTTGGACCGGTAGTACCATTCAGGCCCATATAGATGTTGGTCAGGGATTTCAATTCCTTTGCATCTTTTGAAGTACTTGGACCAGAAACAGTGCTGACTGATGGGTCACTATCCCTGATGTTAGGACTGTTGACTTCCTCAGCCATCTCCTTGGTAGTGTCACAGTTGAGATTCCGAATGCGTCGCTGGTTTCGAAGCAGAGTTATGACAATCTGGACACTTGTAAACACAATCCCAGCCACAGGAAGAGCATTCGCCAGAGTTAGATAAAAGACATCGTAGGTTTGTGTAACAAATGCATTTGGGAAGAGATCTACACAGTCTTCATTGCTGTCATTTGATACCTTGATTGTCACGAAGAAGAAATGTGGAATACCAAAAGCCAGAGCCATAGTCCAGCTACCAGCCAAGAGACAACCAACCAAGCAAAGGCTGTCTAGCTGCACTGGAGCCCCACCTCGCTTTAGGGATCCGACAAGCTTCTGGTGCCAATAAATGCAGATGAACAATGTCGTGTAGATGCTGCTGGTTTCAGAAAGGTCAGCACAAAAAAGGAACACACCACAGAAAGCTTCCCCAAGGAACCAGCGACCAGAAAAGTCTGCCATTGTGTCAGGCAAGTCCACCAGGTAGTTGGTGATGAGGTTGGAGAAAGCCAAGTTGATGAAGAGGATCTCATTTGTGCGGAGGCCTGATTTCTGTCCAGGAAGGGAGCGAATCGCCAGCCAGCTGTTCCCAACGACTCCTGCCAGAAACATGAAAGCTCTGATGATGGATTCGATCAACTCTTCTGCGTCCATCTTCACAAAGAGTCTCCCAAGCTTGTGATGTTGGAGACTTTGGGTCGGGCTTTCTTCGCTCTTTATAGACGTCCAACAACCAATTACAATTACTGTTAAGTTCAAACAACTTTCCATTTTGTTTTCCACAGGGGCGCCTCTATTATGTAATCCCTCTGAGATTCAGGTATGTTTTTCTTATGACAGCCCTTCCCAGAGAGCCTACCCCATCAAATGCTGACTAAATCATGTGAGAGCTTGAGAGCCGCTGTGCAGTTTTCGAGGGACAGCCATCAAAAATAATAAAACCATACGGGCTTTGTGTGCATAAACATACTTTGGCCACCCCCTACCTATGTCAGTCAGTATGTTTACATGACACTCGAGAAAACCGAATTATTGCCTTAAGACCGGACAACTGAAGTGCATGTAAACACCTTAGTCCGAGTATAATTGGAGTTTGATAACTCTGGTTGGAGTTGGAGAACTCCGATTAAGACACCCAGATAATGCGATAGGAGTTCGATTTTCTCTACCATGTAACCGGCCAAGTCGGGTATGATCAGGCAATGCATGTGCACGTGTGCCACGCCCCTGTAACCCCGGAACAAAAACACCAGAGGAAAGGAGTAGCTTGCATCTCATCTGCAGAAAAAGTAGCGCGAACATCATGTTCGACAAAAACAACGCTGTACGATGTTCCATCTTCTTGCTCGAAAATGCCCAGTAGCAGCTGTAGCCACTTCAGACGTCTGGCATGGACCTGCTGTTGTTGTTGATGGTTGTATTGGGTCGGAGACAGCGCCGCCGAAAAGACCCATATTGCCCCCTAGTTTTGGGGAGGAGGACACGTCGTCGTCGTTGTTTTCTTCCACTTCATCTGGGTCCAGGTCATGGGGGCAGCAGCTTCAGGAGGGAAGCCCAGACGGCCCTCACTCCAGCCACTTCCACCAGCTCCTCCAGGGGGATCGCAAGGCCAGGCGAGAGATAAAATCCCTCGAGGTCTCCTCTCGGTGGACACATGTCTGGAACACTTTTAACGGGGGCGTCCAGAAGGCATCCTAACCAGATGCCCCACCTCAGCTGACTCCTCTTGACGTGGAGGAGCAGCGGTTCTACTCTGGGCGCCTCCCGAGTGTCCGAGCTCCTTACCCTACCTCTAAGGCAGAGCACAGCCACCCTGTGAAGAAAACCCATTACGGCTGTTTGTATCCGCCAATGTGGGAGGAAGACACATTCACGTCAATAATTCAATTTTCTCAGCTGTATACATATGTGGACAAGGAGATAAGTCCAGTTCTGCGAAAAGAAAACAAACTATGAGCTTAGTCTGATTAAGCTGTGCATGTAAACTAAGGTGACCAGACATCCCCGAATTGGATGTCCTGTCCCCGAAATTGTCCTCGATTTAAGCGTTTCATGAATGAGAACAAAAATGTTGCGTGTGAGCTAGAACAGCGGTTATTACAGAAGCCGAATGGGTAGGAAGCACAAGTAAGCAGTCCTGAACAACAGTTTTTACTGGGGTTATTATAAGGGGTGTGCGCTGCTACTAAATAGTATCCAGATGTTGTCTGTGATCACGCAGCCCATGCAATCTGGTCACCTTAATGTAAATGCACTGACTGCCTGGGTTGGGCCACCACAGTCAAAAGAGTTTGGGCACGCCCCTGCACCAAAACTGCAGTTGTACCTATAATATTATCAGTAGCTAAGTTGTTAAAAGCCTGAATATACTGTCGCCCATTTGCAGCAAACACAAAGCAAAAATTGAGTCAGGAGAATAAACAACTGAATAAGAGAGACTCCATAACCTTCCATTTAAAATGTTGCTGTTAACCTTTGTTATATGGTAGTTTGTCTGCTTTTTGGGATATACTGCAGAAGTCAGTGGAGTTGTAGGAATTAAGCCCATATTTTGCTCATTTTATAAAGAGACAACCCCCCTGATCGTCAGATCACAGCGGGGGTCTCAGTGGTGTGTAGCACAGTTTCACGTCATTCATGAGTAAAAGCTCCACCTTTGGGATAAACCGGAGACGGCATCTGTGCGCCGCTGCCTCCCGGCACAGTCAGGACGGGACGCAGGAGCGGGGCAGAGCCGCTGCTGCTGCAGGCTTCACGACTGTTTCCTCTTTTCTACTATGAGTTTCGTTTTCCAGCACTTTGACATCGACGAAGGGCTTCGTCCGGAAAGAAAGACCAACCAGCAGGTACTAGTTGCACGGAGGTGCGTTTACTGTCGCTTCCGTTAACGATGAGACTCTGATGTGTGCGGAGAGGACAGGATGCCCGCCAGCGGCGCCGACTCGCTGAAACCCAGCGCCTTCATCCCGGTGTGCACGGCCGCCTGCCTCCTGGTCGGCTCTACCTCTCTCTTCTTCGTTTTTACGTGAGTAAAGTTTGTCTGCTCCATCCATCCTTTACTTTTCATTGCCTTTCCTCTCTCCATGTTCAATTCAGTTTGTACACTAAAATATTTTAATATTAAATCCCCTCTAGCTTCCTCTCTTAACTATTATTAAGTATAACTCACAGCCTACTACACACTTTAGCTCAAAATGTTCCATTAAAACTGCTCAAAATAGTTTTTATATAAGAAGCAGGAATAAAGACCACCATATCCTCCTCCTCATCACTCACTTTGCTCTGCTGGCAGTCCCACCAGGGGCGGCTAACATCTGACCTGGTTGGCTCACAGAGTGGGCCAGTCTGGGTGCCTGCCCAGTGCACCCTGAGGACTCACAGTAAGCACAGTTTTAGGAGGATAAGCCACCCACAATCAACATCATTGTAACAAGATGTCTTTATGGTCCACATGTGGCAGGAGAAATCACATAAGCGCGGCACAGACGCTTAGAAAGCACTCGGCAGGGTTTGTGTGTGCCATAACGCCGATTGAAACCTGAGTTTTGATGTAACTTTTGGCGTTGGAACAGTTAATTTTAGCCTCCTAGTTTTGACCTATTTGTGAGGTAAGGCAGAGCAAGTGGGAGGTTGAAAAGACTCAGCTCAAACCAACGCTGCCAACAGGCACTGCAGAGAAAAAAATGAATACAGTATCCCATAATACCCTCAGATCCAATTTAGCCGAGAACTATAGGTTAGTCCGATTTATCCTATATATTTCAAAGCCTTATGTAACTTAAGAAGAGTGAAGATAAAAAACAAGCCGACTAGGGTCAGATATAACAATACTTTTAATACAAAACCCCCTTTGATACCTACTACTGACATACTGAACGCTCCAACCTCATCAGCTCTATGCCACTCTACTGAACTTTGACCTCTGTAGCTACATCTGTCCTAGATTCTCCTGTATTCTCCATTTGTGCTACGTTTCCACTGGAATCTAACACCAGATTGGTAGTATGGGATTAGGATCCTGTCGCCAGCGCCATGTGATCCCCCATCTGGGGGAAAATGGAGTCTGGGATCTACTGTCAGACAGTCGGTTTTTACTGTATTCTCTCAGGAGTGGCTTTTACTGTAAAATACATTTGTTTAGTCGCTTTGTTTGCTGGGCTTTTGTGTCAATAATAGTAAAATAGTCACATCCAAATGTTGCTGGTGGAGATAACAGCGGAGTACGAAACATTGCATGTACAACAATAATACAGGCGATACAGAAACAATATAACACACATTTGTGGTTTTTATCCAACACTTTTAAGAAACTTTCCTTCAAAGATTTGGAGCTGTACAAATCTGATTTATAAAGTACTTCTGCAATCAAATAACTCAACTAAATTGATAATAAAAATATTGAATTGTGAGCCAAAGCGACTGGCTGCTGTGTAAGTCGTAAAGTCCGCCTCTGTATGAACAGATGGAACAATGGTCAAACTAGGGAATTAAAACACACGTCATATTTCTTAACAGGACTTGTTCAAAGAGGAAACAGGCCAGGAAAGGTACAGAGTAAAAAACACTGGTGAACTTGGATTACACTCTGTAAAAAAAAAAAAAAGAAACTGAAAAAAAAAAATCCATGTCCTGCTGGTGTTACAGTATAAAAAGAGACTTCATTAACGCGACTGTACTGCTTAACCAGCAAAACCAGGACACTGCAAGTGATTGAGTGAACGATTGAGTGATGAATCTGCCTCTTTTGGGATGAGGGATACAATGGAGTTGAAATGACCTTTTAACCTAAAATTGTTTCGCATTACGCAACTCAGATTAGAGCTTATCATTTTGTAACGTCATAGCTCAAAATGACCCCAAAGTGAGTCTCTGTACCCTTACATAAGTTAAAAAACTGCACTTTGAGTGTCTGAAATACTCTGCGAGCTTATTGTTTGCCTTTAAGATCTGGATGTTAGTGCTGTAGACTCAGAGGCTTTTAATATCAACTCTTAGCAGGAGGTTGGACACATTTCTTTTAGGGAGAAACTGGCAGAAAGTCAGTGTCTTGTCAGCGGCCCGTTAGGCTCTCTCTTTTCTGATGGTTTGATATCTTGTGTGCCCTCCAAGTCAGCAGCTGCAGCTGGAGTGACTCACTTCCTTCAAAAGTGGAGACAGACAGGTGCCAAGGTCTCTTCAGCGTGGTCAAAGTAGCAGTAATTCAAAGGGACGTCCCTTGTCATCTACCATAGCATCACCCTGCCTTTTGCCCCTGTGACTGTGAGTCATAGAAACATTTGTGAAATCATCTAGTCAGGCCTTTTGTACTTTTGTTTTCCACCTTTTTGTATAAATGAAATCTTTTAAGCCTAATTTATGATTCTAAACCCTGTAGCCATGTTAGATAGGCTATTTTTTTTACGATGCAGTCCTTTCATCTGGTATTATTCATGCAATTATAATGAGTGAATGTTTATTAGCAGTGAAAGCATTCCTCTCTCAGCTGCAGGTTTGGTGGAGCTAGAAAACCACCCTTGAAACAGGGGGGGAGGCTCTTTTGTCTTCCTCTGCCTGATAAAATTCATCAGTCGCCGGTTTCCTGCTTTTGTTCATCCGGCCGCAAACTTTTGTTTGGGTTGGTGCTTAAGGTCTTGTGCTTTGTGAAACTGAGCCAGGCCGGCTACACCCAACCACGGCCATACTGATAAGAAAGACAGAAAGTGATGGCCTTTTTAAATGATATCCATGACTCTGATCAGATGTAGATTAACCTGCTAATCTATCATTGAATTCATATTGTTAAAAGATAATTAATACAGTTAAGAGAACATTATCTTAGGTTCAGTGTGCTCACTTAGGCTGAGAATAAGGAGCATTAGTGGACGGATTAAATTGTCATAAAATGTTAAATCTTTATGTCTGAAATATCCTGATGAATGTTTAAACTAGTCTGAGTAACTTTTGTTGAATATTGGACACTTAAGGCTGTGACCACAAGTGATAGTTGTAATATGCTAAAAGCTTGTAATTTAGCATGATGGTGTTGTTTTTTGTATAATTCATAGACTGTATATAGAATGGACAGTGTCTGCCTCCTCGTTGGGTGAAGCCACTCCGAGAACAGCACCCTCTGTTGGCAGGCTGCAGTATAGGTCATAAATCCCGCCTCCGCCAGCAAAGCTTATGGAGCTGTGGACAAACTTTAGAAATTTATGACACAGAATATATATATATCCCCCCCCCCCCCCGCTTGTGATGTTGACATGTAGTTACAGTAAGACTGGTTTGTGCTCAAGTCTTCTTTTATCTGTGAAGCTCCATTTTTAAAAGTTATTAGGGATTCATGTTTTCTATGATTGACACCTGATACAGCCCAACGCTACTGCGCAATGTTGGTTTCAGGAAATGAAGAAAAATCACAGAAATACTGAGAGCTATTTGGCTTCAAATCTGTATACTGATGGGAGGTGGAACCAAGTTGTCCATAGTATATACAGTCTATGGTATAATTACATATGAATGTTGAACAAAAAAGTTAGCATTAGCCCAAGTAGAACCATGTATTAGCATCGAAATGAGATATGCTGTACCATAGTCACCTAACCGATATATTCTCATTCATACTTTTAACCTACAGGTATTGTAGACACAGGTTAACAGAAATATCCGTAAAGTATTGTGAAGCTAAATTTTGAGAGTTTTAAAGTGAGTGAATTTTGCACTTCATCCGTAAAAGATTTTTCTTCGTTTGTTTAAAAGTGTTGGTCCCTCGTAGCTGAAGTCTCTGTTCAATTGCTTTTATACCTGAACTGTCATGCAAGTACAATTCTGTACAGATTCGCTGAAATGTTTAAAAGTATGCTGTTTGGGTGTTAAGATCTGTAATGAATCTTGCACTGAAAATCTGAGAGCACTTGATATAAAATCTGGTTTATGGCCCAGTCTCACTGTATCACTCCAATTTACTCAAGTTTTACAGTTTTCTTGTCAGACTGTGCTCAGTGTATTCAATCCTAACAAGAGTAAAAAAATGTTTCCCTCTTCCTCCCTACTGTTCTCCCTTTTCTCCTTTTTCTCACCTAAGAAAACGGGGCGCCGCTCTTGTGTTGATCCGACTGTTCTCCCTGTTGTGCAATGACAATAAATTCCTCTAATGAGTCTAATGATGATTCTAATGTTTAGCTTAAGTGGCTGGTCAGGATCGTGACAACAGGAACACCTGAAACTAACAAAGCAATTTGTAGTCTCCACTTTCAAAACCTGCTTAAATGGATTTAATATGAAAAACAGAAAACTCGAACACAATGGGCTCTGTCAAACTATCTGCTTTTGTTTTTGTGATGGATTTAAAGTTTCTAATTCCTGCATCATTCCACTTGGCATACTGAGATACCTCAGCATGGGTGTGTTAGAAAGATTTATTATTTCGGTTTGTACATAAGTCTTCAAATAATCTGGGATCCAAATATCAGTTTGCTTCAAATCAATAAACGCACTCCAATCATGACTTAACAATCTATATTTTAATGAATCATCCCTGATTGGAGTGATGCCATCAGGGTTTAAGTTTGTAAAGCATAGCTGCCCTTACTACACCCCGACTGAATTGCTTTACTTGAAAGCGTTTTAAAAAATCGTCCAATAGTCAAAATCAATCACATTTAAAGGCTTCACACAGCAGCTTTCCTAAATTGCCTCCATCTGCACTGGGTGGTTCAGTGAGAGGAGGAATGATGAAATGTGGATGACAGTCACAGGTCACGTGAAATCAACCCACTGTGACCACATGTTTCTCTGAGATTTATTATCCAGTCTGTGGGATTTTATTCACCCCTAGTTGTTTCCTGTGCTGATGGTGGTGTCTACAAATCTGACAGATTACATGGCAGTGATGTCATTTTTCAAACCGTGACAATATTTCACTGAAGGAGCCCGTGCTGCCAGCAGGAGTGAACTTACCGCCCGACCAACTGTGTTGCAGGCGTCTGCTGTGCCACTGACCCACTGTGGGGATGAGGGCAGCGTGCAGATTGCAGAGCAGCTTACCGTTCTGTGTGATTTAATACAGCTCTGCCCAGGCTGTTTCATTAGGTGGGGTTTGTCTTTGCCATGCTGCGGTGTAATGAACTGTCTCTCCCTTGCGGTCCAGATGGCCTCAGGCCGATGATGATGGAGGCTCGGAGACTATGCAGAGGCATCCGCAATGCAATCTGTTTTACGGGAAACCAGTCGGATGAACTCTTTCAGGGTTCAAAGTTTGACAGTGCGAATGTAGAGCAGGCTGTATTCCAATCGACTAATAATTTTTTACTTATATAGCATCAAATTATGAAAATTTTTATCCTCAAAACAGGATTTTTTGTAATATTATGAACAGGAACTTGAAGCACTTGGTAACAGTGGTAAGAAAAACATCCTATTCCAGGTAGAAACCACAAGCAGGACCAGAATCATGGTTTACAGACATCTGCTACAGTCCACTGGTACATCTTAGCAGAAAAATCAAGAAAAAATCTACATTTCAGAGAAGATTATGAAGCAAACTCTTGATTCAAAGACAAGGAGAAACATTTTAAAAGTTCACCTGATTTTTAAGAAAATTACATGATCGGATTTAGCCTTGTATTAACGGACTTGCTTTCAGAGGATGTTTTGTAACTAACCATCTCGAGTTACTCAGCTTAATGTAAGTGATCAGCTGTGACCGTTTAAGCACATGTCAAACATGACCATATTTAGCCAGAAGAACTTATATACAAATCCTGAATAGCAGCCTGAAGGGGGAGGGGGAATCATATTATACTCTTTAATCTTTCTGTCACATATTCACCGCTTCTTAAGGTTCCTTATAATTAAATTATGCTAAATTTATTCAAATCCACAAGAAATTCTTGTCTAATTTGCAATGTTAATTAATCGTGTGATATAAAAGAGGTACCAGTTGGATTATATCTCATGGTGTGCAGTCTACAGTGGCGTGCTTTTTGATATGTGGTGAGCATTGACCATATGCACGCCATGTTTGTATTGAATGTGGGGAACGCACAATGAACTGGACTGGCAGGAATGGTCTGTAATCCAGAGTTCATAATCCAGGGATTACTGGGTTTGCAGCTGGCATGGCATCAGCGGGCGTGCCTCTTGGGAGAAAAAAAGGACCCCTCCCCCACAGCCTAAAACCAGCCAGGGGGGTTTGGGGATTGGAGCCACTGCTGGGATGAAAAAAGGGTTTTCACTTTTATAAGATTTTGTATTTTTCACTCTTATATGAAGATTTATTTGGAAAAAAAGAGCAGTAACCTTTTTCCTTTTATACTGATTATAACATTTTCATTCAACTGGCCTCAAAGTCACATGGATTCAAATTCATACTAATACCAAATCAAAAACTACAACTTTAAATAACTGAAAGAAAAAAAATTCCCATGCATTATTTCCAATAAATGTAGGTTAAACATGGGATGTTCAATCAAACACTGTAAATATAATCTAGTGAATCTTTTCCCCTCTATCACTGTAACCTGATTACACTGCCTCCTCCTCTAATCTCACAGCCGAGACATAATCATACTCCCATTCACTCCCATACAGCACATACACACATGCACACACTGAATCTCTCTCTAAGATTTCTATGGCACACATTCACAGAAAGATACTGGTTCAAATCCAGACAGAATACTCAGGCCAATTCTGTTATGCAAAAATAATCATCTGGAGGCAATAGCATTTGACAGAATGGAGCGATTTGTTCCAGTTTATATGATTGAAAACATGAATCAAAATAAAACCATCCGACAGTGTGGATTTCTTAACCTATAAGGCTGCTCGCTAATTCACTCAGTCAAATTTGTTTTAAAGCCTTTGTGAGAAACTTCCGGTTCGTGTCGATCAGGAGTTGCTAATATGAAGTCAAACCTATGATAATGGAGGAATAAAATCAACGGTTTGTCCAGTGAGGTTGGCAGAGGTGACATAATAGAGCAGGACAAAGCTAGTGCAACAAATATATATATAAGATGTGTTACATGAAAATAAAATACAGCCTAAATAGGACAAACATAAAGAAAAGCCAAATGCTAAATTAGCTAAACAGTTAACAAAATTATATTAATCGTTCTATATTGTATCAAAATGCTAAAAATCGTAATAATATTGTATCGTGGCCCAAGTATCCTGATAATATCATATCTTGGGGCCACAAGTGATTCCCACCCCTTGTGTCGATTTTGGCGCCCCCTGTGGACATCAAAGTAGCAGGTCTCATATTGTTTTGAACACAGCCATGAAAATCCAGTCACAATCAGGATGGTGAATCATAGATAGTATATAGAATGGACAGCGTCTGCCTCATCGCTGGGTGAAACCACTCTGAGAACAGCACCCTCTGTTGACGGGCTGCAGTATAGGTCATAAATCCCACAATCCCAGTTGTGGACAAACTTTAGAAATTCATTACACACAACATAATTTTTTTTTACCCTTGCTTGTGATGTTGACATGTAGTTACAGTAAGACTGGTTTGTGCTCAAGTACTCTTTTTTCTGTACAGCTCCATTTTCAATAGTTATTAGGGGGTTCATGTTTTCTATGATTGACACCTGATGCAGTCTATGGGCGTTCAGGGATTGCGTAGCTCACCCGGGGGATACGCTGTTTGAGCCAAGCGTCATCACAGGGACTCTCTGTGACCGAATGCGTAAAACGCTACTGCGCAATGTTGGTTTCAGGAAATGAAGAAAAAATACAGAGAGCTTTTTGGCTTCAAATCTGTATACTGGCAGATAGCAGAACCAAGTTGTCCGTAGTATATACAGTCTATGGGGTGAATACATTCACTGTATACTGAATGTACTGAATCATGTTGTTTGTTTTCCTGGGCATGTACTGTATTTAAACATGGCATTAGTACAGGATTGCCGCACACACACATACCTCACCACGCTCTGTTAGAAATATGGCAGCTGCTGTTTTGTCTGTGTCGTTAAAAAGGTTGGTAACCTCTGTTGAGCATAATTAATTCTATCATCATCATTATTTTACAATCTCATCATGCATTTTTTTCAACAAATGTGTGATTGGTGGAAATCTCTGCCAAGGAAAACTGTAAAAAAAGAAAAAAAGCTGTTGCAGCAGTTTTCAGCCAATAACTACAACTGGCAACTGAAGCTCCAGATATAAATAATAGCTTGATAGGAATGGTTGGTCATTACGCTGATGAGCTGGTTTGTGCTGACAGCTCATATAGGCGTCATTATTAATTCAAGTCTTCATTGCGATTAACATTATCATTAAGCCCCCAGTGGTGTGTGTGAATGGGATTAGGTAATTCTGATGGGCTCTATACATAGCAGCCAGTGTATGAATGTGGTGTGAATGTGACATGTAATGTAAAAGCACTTAGAGTGATTAGAAAAGTAGAGAAATCACCTTTTAAATATCTACTCTTAAAAAAACTGTTTTGAGGCGGTAGTTATTGCACACCATTGATAACTGCTGATTGTTTTCTTGGTTGTCTCCTCTAACAATAAAACTCCCCACAGTTTATCATAGTCTGGATTGTTTTGGATGTAGATGGCATACATTTTTTTTTTGTTATCCAAACTGTTCATCCTAAACCCACAAATGTTCAGGTTATGATGTTATGAAACAGAAAAATCACAGCAAATCCGTCCAGGTTTTTAAATCCGCAAATCCCAAATCTGGTCCCACCACTCTCCACCGACTCTTCGGACATTTTAACAAAAAACAAGGGTTTATGCCAGAGAAGTTTTTGTCTTTTTTTAAATCGTATCCGAGGTTTAAAATAAATCGTAACCATAGTGAAACATAAAGAAATTTCACACGCTGATAATCCTGAAAATGTTACAGAAATTTTGTTGATTGAATGTTCTTAAATATGTATAGGTCATCACTTTTCTGCATTATAATTTTATCTTTTTAATTATTTATTCTTTTTTATTTTACAGATAATTAATTTGACTGAATTCTTGTCCATGAAATAATGTTTTTGCTTTGACATTTTATAAGAGGAAGAAAGCTGGGTATCTCTGACTCTTTAGCTCTTAAATCCACATGAGTTTTCATACAGGAAAATAAAATCAACTAAATTAAACCATATTAAACCAGATACCGACTCCTTACATCTATATTAGAGTCTTGTCCTATTTTATGGTGTAGAAACAGTAAGAGTCTTTCTATTCCTGCAGGGTACCCCATCATTTAATCCCTTGTTTCCGGCCCTGGTGAACATGCACTAATACATGCTTATCTTTCACTGTAAACAATTACTTTTAAGAGCCGCTGCTCCCCCTGGAATAAATGGGATGAAGATTATCTCTTACAATCTTCCTTGTGGTCCTGATTTGTGTTAACCTCAACCTCCAAGGGATGGATACTCTCGAGGTTTAGAAACACTCTGAAACCCTTGATTTACTGTATGAGTGCTGCTTTCAATGACGACTCGATTACAAGCACAGGAAACAGATTTTCTTTTTTTCTGTATGTGTATTCAGATGTCCATGGCTGGCTGTGACCATCTGCCCAGCTGTGCCACCATGTTGTGCCATCCTCTTCCTTTTTGTGCTGGCCAACTTCACCATGGCAACCTTTATGGATGCTGGTGTGCTCCCAATGGGTGAGTAATAAGACTGATGTTGTACTTAGAGAGAGAGGCGTCACTCTTTTTTTTTTTGATGATGTTTGCAGAGGTAGCATTTCTCTTATTTTCTTCCCCAGCAAACGAGGATGAAGACAAGGATGATGAGTTTCGTGCTCCCCTGTACAAGAACGTGGACGTGAAGGGCGTCCAAGTGCGGATGAAGTGGTGTGCGTCGTGTCATTTTTACAGACCCCCACGCTGCTCCCACTGCAGCGTCTGTGATCACTGTGTGGAGGTGAGAGCATGGACAGATCGAAAGAAGACACATGTCAGACTGTGGATGGAAAAAAAACAGCAGATATGAGAGGAAGAAATGAAAGATCATAGGGAAAAAATGACAGCAGTGTGTGAAGTGAGGGGGGATTTCTGCAGAGCGAATGATGGACAGAGTGTGTTAGAGGGAGAGAATCTCATTAATCAGGTTAATCCTTTTTCTCAGATCTCTTATAGTCTCACTAGAAATGCAATTTGAAAAAAAGGTTCAGTCTTCGAGTACTAAAGAAAGCACAGCCAGTATTTAGAAAACTATGAATTTACAGTACATATATAGATATTTTTTTTACTAATTTCTCCTCTCAGGATTTCGACCACCACTGCCCCTGGGTGAACAACTGCATCGGCAGGCGAAACTACCGCTACTTTTTCCTCTTCCTGTTGTCTCTGACGGTCCATATGATCTGCGTGTTCAGCTTCGGTCTCATATACGTCCTGAACCACGCAGATGACCTGTGGAAGCTGCACTGCACTGTCACGTATCCTTACATAGGTGTAAATCAGGGCTTTTTATGCATGAATGCATTGGACCCCTGTGCAACTTGAGACATACATGGGTTAGTTTTTCTTAACACAACATTCAGTTTGGTTGTGATCAGTGTATCAGGGTTGTTTCTTATCCCAGTCCTGGGTCTGGCTGGGTTCCACCTGTACTTGGTTTCTAGGGGACGCACCACCAATGAACAGGTAAGTTTGATTTTCATGTGATAAATGTTGTGACAGTAATGATTCCTTCTAAAAATATAGTTTTATGGTGTATATGTAAAGTAAAAATGTAGAAGAGGACTGGATTCCTCTTCTGGGTTTGTTAAAACATGAACGATTTCACGCTGTAACAATTCACTTATACTTTCTGTCCACCCACATTACTTTTGGATGAACAGGATGTTTTTTTTATCATTGTCCTTTCAGAATAAAAGTTCATATTTAAAAAAAAAAAAACAGATGATAAATCATTTATTGCAGGTTTTAAAATCAACTTAAACACCGACTTAACAGGAACAAATTGCAGCATATCCAGAGTTTCTGGACGACTGACAGTAGGAACCAGCTAGTTCCTTAACTCACTCTCTTTATATTTTTGTCTGTTTGTGGTCCTGAAGGTAACTGGGAAGTTTCAAGGCGGAGTGAATCCTTTCACAAGAGGCTGTTGCAACAATTTGGAGTATCTTGTCTGCAGTCCTATCTCCCCAAGGTGAGAGCCATTTATCTCATTTTGTCTACAGGTTTTGAAGAGTCTTTCTGTGATTCATTGACAGATTTTTCGTGTAACTACAGGTACACAGCAAGGCCCAGTAAGAAAACAGTGATCCACATTCAGCCTCCGTTTCTGAGACCAGAGATAGACAGGCAGATGTCGGTGAAAATCCGCGACAATGGCATACAGAGTCAGGATCTTCAAACTAAAGTATGCACAAACACATTACATGTCAAATTCAAAACACACACACACACTCAGAGCTTCCTCGGAGATCATCTGATGAATGCACCCTCGGTTGTCAAAAGGATTAGGTCTCTCATGTTTCCTGCTTTTTTTTTCTCCTGCCAGCGAACGTCAGCGGGAGCTGTCGAGCTGTCAAACATCAAACAGATGAAAACTCCACCACCACTGCCACCAAAACCAGAACACGGCCTGCTGAAGAGCCACTCCACTGCCACGGATGGTACTGCAGTATGATACATATACACTGTAATAGCCAGACACAGCATTACAACAGTGTTCTAACACGTAGAAACACACCCATGAGGGGACAACAGAAAGATTTCAGCTGTAACAGAGTGAGAATAGATGTGCTTAGTAAATAGACATTAAGTTATATCTCTGTGCTTTTATTCTTAAAGAAATTTTTTAAGTCTTCTGTGAGCTGACACTCTTGCACTTGGCAGTATCTTCTATATTCTGGAGTTTATCTCGTATCGATCATCCCACATACACCCTCCTGATTGCATAATTAAATATGGACCAGCTAAAACTCAAGTTATTCATTTATATAAGTTCAAGTGAAGCATAGGCAATGACTATCTCTGTTCTTATGCTCGCTTCAACAATGCAAAGACAAGAGTATGTGTGGAAAGCAAAATGGACAGGAAAATCAGCCTTCAACAGAGCACCAGTTAAAATGCAAGAATCAAGTATAATATTTAAAGCTCCTATGAGGTGTTTTTTGACATTTATGAAGCAGACTAAAATTCATGTTGTTGCCTTCTAATGATAAACAAAAGCAAACAAGGCCAGCTGTAACAAGACTGAAAATCTTTGAAACCCTGTTTTTAGTGTCTGAAACTAGTGCGAGGGGGGTAGGTCCAGGTCTTGCAGCTTAAGAAGCAGCCTAATTTACACACAAAATATTCACAATAAATGATAAATTTGACTGTCATGAGATTTGTCGTCATAAACCAATACTCAAGCATGTAGCATGAAAGATAAGCAAGGGCTCTTTGTCCACATGGGGGCGCTTAAACTGGCACAAAGCAAAAGTTGCTTACAGGAGCTTTAATGAGCTGAAATACTGACAGATTGTGCTGATGTATAACATATCCACTGGAAACATATGTCATATATGTGGAATCAATATATATACTTTTTGGTTCTACTGCGCCAAGTGTGTTTTAATTTGCTGCTAAAAGTTGCCTCTAACAAATGCACAATTCGCTCCTATTTGAGACTTGTTGGCTTAATATTTAATAATCGAGTCTTCTTCAAAATATTTGCCACAACTGACTTTTTTTATAGTAAAAACAACAACTGAATTTCCAATAATTTCACTAAGCTGTGCTTTCTTCCTCGTGAGTTAGGAACCAAAAGTGGTTGACAGAGTGAGCTGAAGATCTGTGTCGACAAAAAGTTGTTGCTAAAAGTTAAATTAGTTGAAGGTTGTGTGGTTGTTGTAATGCAGTTGTAAGTCGGGTTATTCACAGTCCAGAACAGCAGGTGGCTGTAATGTGCTGGTTATCAACTGTCATCATTTCATAAGTTTCAGAGATTTGGGTCCGAATTTTCTCTCGATCAGTCCAGAGTTTATTCAAAGTTATACTCCTCTTTCGTTAAAACCAGGAACCTTCATTCATCTATTTCTATACTATATTGTAGGGCTGGATGATGATGGCAAAAATAGTAATCACGATTATTTTGACTGATATTGAAATCATGATTACTCATTGATTTCAAAACTTGAGTATTTACTGAACCAACAAAACTTTACTTTAAATATAACTTAGAAGAACAGCCAGAAATAAATTAGTAACAAGTCAAAAAATATTAACAATAGTAAATTTTATTAATAATAGCAATAAAAACAATCAATAAAAATAATTACCCAATCTACCCAAAAAACAAAAGACTCTCATCATTACATCATGATCAAAATTCGGTCCAGCCCTACTACATTGTAAAAAAAATATCAGTGCACTGTAGGTGGAAATAAGGACCCTGTGTTTGTATATAAATACCAATATCACTGTAACTGTCTAGCAAATTATGTGACTTATTGCTCCCTCATTTAGAACCAGTGAGCTTGGAAATCACATGCCTTTGCATCTTAGGTCATTTGTGCCATATATCTGATAAATCTGGCACGGTACAGTATTAAATTTTTTGGTCTAAAAGAGGTCTAATAGATGTCTAAATGTAGCCTAGACGACTGGTCTAAAATCAGTCTAACACAGGTCTAAAAATTAAAGTTTTTTAGACGTCTAAATTTAGACCAAGTTTAGACCAAGTCTAAATCTGGGCTATATCTATACTACACTGTATTTTGCTCAATGACTATTATAATTATTTTGGTTAAGTACTTAGAGATCAGTTAAACAACAGTTGTTTTTTGACATAAATAGTTATCAAATAATGGGTCAAAGTGCAACGTCTGAAATCTGTCAAAAAATATACAGAATCTAGACGGTTGAAATTAGGTCTAAAAAAAACTGGATGTCTAATTGTCGTCTATTGCTCAGTGGGATCATGGGTTACACAGCGTTTCTCACCACTAAATGTCGACCTGGTTTTCATCTTCCTTGAGTCATTTCAGAGCCGTTCAGTGGGTTTCTGTGTCATACAATTAAATGTTTTCTCTTCCAGAAATGGGACACCATACCAAATCCATCATCCCTGCATCCATTCCTACTGTGCCACAGCTACGACCTGTTCTGGAAGCCATATCCAGAGGATCGTCTCCCATCCCTCCAGAGCAGGTATTTCTCAGCCTGATGTTAATCTGATACAAAAGAGTGTCGCCCTTAATGTCAAGTTTGGGTTTCCTTTTGACCCTGACACTCTTGCTGTCTGTTTTTTTTTCTGCTGTGTTGTTTAGCTACTGAAGACATCTGAGCAGCAGGCGAACAACAAGAGTCCCGACCTCCGCTCTGAGTCTAAAGACAGCCCTCTGAGAGGCAGCCAGCAGGCCGGCCTGCCTGTCCAGACGAACAGCATCTCAAGCACGCTGCAGCTCAACTCTCTGACTCTCAACTCGCGCTCTCTCACCCTCAAACACAGCAACCGCCACGGCAACAAACCCCAGCTTCACGCTATGCACAGTGACAGTTTGGGCTCTAATCCTGCTCCGGGTATCATTACTTCATCCAGCCTGCTGGCCAATCACAGCAGCAGCAGCCTCTCCTATGACAACCTCATGAACCCTGCAGACCCTCAGTTACTGCTCCAAAGAGGGGCTCCTCCGGTTGGTTACCATCCTCCCTTTATGTCGCTGGGAGCAGATGGTTCTGTAGTGCAGCGGCCCCCTCCTCACGCCTACAGCCCTGTGTTTATGGGCATCACCAGACAGTCTCCTCAGCCGCGAGACACTTCACCGTCTCTGCAGGGCCTCACCTCTAGAGATCCCTCCCCTTCCCTCCAAGGTTTCATCCAAAGAGATCCTTCCCCATCTTTCCAAGGCCTCATGCAGAGAGACCTCGCCACCCAAAGTGTGACGTCGCGAGATATTCCCCCTCCAAGTTTGGCATCTCAAAGCCTCCGAGACAGCCTCAGAGATCTGCAGAGTTTGACGCCCCCGAAGTCTGCCGCCGCTCGCTATGACAACTTTTCAAAGAGCATCATGGCGTCTCTTCACGAGAGACGGGAGATGGAGGAGAGGGAGAGGATGCTGCGTCTCCAGGCGAGATCTCAAGCTCTTTACGGCCCAGATGTTGGAATCTATGACATCCCCAGCAGGAGGAGCTTACCACCAGACAACATCCACCGACCTGTGGGCTCCCGTGGTCCCACTCCTCCTGCGTACGGCTCCAGGGAGTTTCTCATGAGCACAGGTATCCTGGGTTATGGAATGAGAACATCGCCGCTCTCCAGCTCCTCCACGTCATCTCTGACCCGAGGCCCCAAAACGTCGAGCTCTCCTCTGCAGAGCAGCAGCAGCAGCAGCCTGCAGAGCAAAGGAAGGTCTTCCTCCCCTGCTTACGGCCATCCTGAACGACAGACTCAACCTCTCCCCTCCTCTACTTCCACTCTGCCCCGTTTACCCTCCACCTCCACATCCTCCGCCCCTTTGTACGCCTCCTATGCCACAGCAAAAAGATCCTCGCTCACATATTCCTCTGAGGGGAAGGACTCTGTCACCCTGGGGGCCCTGAAGTGATAAAAAGGAAGGAAAAACATACTCTGTGTTTCTGGTGTGAATGAATCATCTATGCAGTGTTAGTCTCAGTCTTCACAGCTCTGAAATACTTTGTAAATAAGAGGCCATTCGGGACTTTTCCTGTGTGGGAGGCTGAGTGAGAAACAAACACACAGTGGAGGATAAAGTTGGAAAGTATTCCCCTAAAAGTCTTGTCCAAATGTTAAAATAATGGTAAATCTCAGGATAGTTGTGCCTCCTCTTACAAACAGAGCGAGCTCTTTAAACTCAGTGAAAGCAGAAGGGCTATGTGAGGAATACAGATGGACTTTCTATCTGCTTTTATGTGTTTTGATATTGCTTTTGTGAAATAATGTCATACCATGTTATCGAACTTGTCTCCTGCCGCAAATTACCCAGTTTATTAAAATTTTGTAGTTGTTTATATGAATAAACTTATTTTGTAAATTTTCATTTCTCTTTCTTTATTATTTACTTTGTGTTAATGGCCGTTAACTTCAGCCCCTGAATATTTCACAAAGCTGAATGAGATTTGACCAGCTGTGTTAAATACTTGATTCTGATTGGTCAAAACACCGTAGTCACAAACTGTATATCATATTAAACTGATCCAGAAGTCCAGCAGTGTAGCATAGAAGTTGTCGTCCATCTCACGCTGACTTTAAAGTCCCACTTCGATCGTTGTTTTTTACTAAGTGTTCTCAGTGGTCTTTAAACTGTGATTATTAAGTTTTTTACCAAAATCGCGTTACCTGTGTCATTTTCATGGGCTTTTCTCCCGCAGAGCTCCAGTAGATCATTAACAATTCGCCTCTGAGTCGTGGGCGGAGACAGCGCTGCTCTGCACACTCCTCGTCAGGCTAGCTTGTAGGCTAGCTCTCAGACACTAATGTCTTTAGGGACATGATGAAAGCTAGTATGATTGTTAGCTTTCTTTGAAATCCGCTAATGCACACACTTGTTCCGCGATTGTCCTCTCTATTTTTCCAAGTGCAGCCTGCATAGCCGGGCTCCGGGGGCGGAGCTTGGATTTGCTCCATTGAAAATCTCACTGAATCTGAACCATAGACTGTATATAGAATGGACAGTGTCTGCCTCCTCGCTGGATGAAGCCACCCCAGAGAACAGCGCCCTCTGGTGACGGGCTGCAGTATAGGTCATAATGCGCAATGTTGGTTTCAGGAAGTGGAGAAAAAATGCTGAATTACTGAGAGCTTTTCGGCTTCAAATCCATATATTGATGGAAGGAGGAACCAAGTTGCCCGTAGTATCTACAGTCTATGATATCATATTAAACTGATCCAAAGAAAGAAGTCCAGCCGAGTTGCAAAAATGTTGTCGTCCATCTCAGGCTGACTTTGAAGAGGTGATTGTGATTGTTACTGGGGACTGATGGGAGATCAGCTTGGGGAGCTAGTAAGCCCCACCATCTCTGGTAAAGAAACGTGGAGCAAGATTCTATCCTGTGATCAGGATCTTGCTAACCCTAATTTGCATAACCACCTGTCTGCTATACATTATCATACAAAGAAAAAGTGCATTTTCTAATATGCGATTTCTTTTTTTTTTGCCCTACTTAGATGGATAGTTGAGTGATGTGTAATGTTCTGAGAGGAGATTAGGGTAGACTTGCATCAAAGGGTCGAGGTCGGGGATTAAACCAGTGGCATGGTTGACCGTAGCCTCTGGAAACGGGGTGCCTGCTCTAATAACTGAAGTATAGAAAAAGTACACTTTTAATTTTATCAAGCACTTTTTTTGGTCATCCGATCAGATAAAGCACTCACATCATATGTCACATTCATTCACCCATTCACACTTCGCTCACTCACTGATGGCTAAGCTGCTCTGTAAAGTGTACATCAGTACGAACTAATCCCCCCCACACACACACACTGCTCTTACAGCCACACAGGACAGTTTAAGTTCAATGTCTTGCCCTCTGACACTCAGGCATGCAGACTGGAGGACGTGGGATCAACCCCCTGACCGTTTGTTTCACAGATCTATGACTGAGCCACAGCTGCTTTTCTAAAGAACATAAGATGAAAACAAATCAAACCAAAAAAAGACCCCAAACATTTTAATACTGAGCATCTCTCTTGTTTCAGAATTATGTTTTCCAAATTACACAATTACGCAAAATTCAACAGACAGGCAGGTAAACTGAACTTAAAATTTGTTTTCATTTTAATGCAAAGCTGCAGAAAAACATGAATGCATATTTTCATTCATTTCAATATATGACTGCAACAACAAGAAATTAAATGCATCTTTCCAATGTTAAAAAAAAAGAGAAATGCAATAGTTTAGGTTCTCTGCTGCAGTGATTCACACGCTCTGCAAACCAGTTTCTGTACCAAATTTGAGAATGGCGCCCTCTCGTGGACATTTACAGTATTGCAAGCAGTATATAAGTATATAAGCATGGCATTGAAATCCAGCAGATGATGCTATTGTGTGTAAAATCCCAGCAAACAACACATTTAGTCAAGGAAAGACCAAAGGAGGCTTGAACTGTGACCTAGATTCTCAAAGGTCCTTTTGTTATACAGCTGTTCTTTTCTTTTTATCACTTCAGCTAGTCTAATGTTTTAAAACATTAACTGTATCTGCAAAGTGATTCATATATCTAATCAAATGTCGGGAAAGACACATCTTTTCTATATTTTATATGTTTGTAATAGATCCAACCTGGCAAATGCTTATATAGCCTGAATATTTGCTTGTTTGGCTGTCTGTAGATGAATTTATAAGTCATTCACAGCCCTTGTGGCAGACACTTTAAAACAAATGAACTATTTTATCACCTTGACCTTTTCATTAACAATTTCCCAATTGTGTCGAGGCAATAAATGACAAGACCCTGCACTTTGAGGTTGTGGCTTTTTCATCTGAGTTATTGTCTCACTTGACCTTAGAGCAGGTGGGAGTGTGGATATGATAACACGACAGCTTGAAAGGCGCAGCCTGATTTAAACTGTTGGCAGGAATTTACAAGACAGCCCAATAACTGACAGATCCCTCAACAGACCGCTAAACTCAGTGAGGCTTAGTTAAAGACCTGACAACTACAAAAGACGCGGAGCACGAGCAAAAAACAACAACAACAAAGCCTCTCAGTAAGAGTGCCAGGAAGCAACAAGTGAAGTGTAAACAACATTGTTTGGTCGTAATTGGAGGAGTTCTTCTTGCCAAAAGTTTCTAACAAGATTGCAGAATGTCTAACACGGTCTTGTGCGCGAGAGATTGTGAGAACAAGAGAGAGGAAATCAAAGAACAAGATAAAGATATTACCAGGGCTTTTAAAGCTTTATTAGAGACCAAGGGGGCAATGCGCAAAAAAAAAGAAAAAAGAAAATCACATCCTCTTCCAAGTACCGCCAAGAGCTGAACGGGAGAATGTTGTTTTATTTTCCATCTGTAAGCTCTCTGTAAAGAAAGACACAAAAAAATGTTGTTTCTGCTCTTTAAACGGAGCTTTTTAAAACAGTGTTCAAGGGAATACATCTTGAAACACTTTCTGTCAGTGCCAGCCGGCTGAAATCAAGATCACATCTTTGTCTTTTTGTTCCCAGTGTATAAAAAAAAGTGTTTTTCTCATCCACAAATGGAACTTTTTTGAAAGGCCAGGAAGAAAGATACGTTTTAAAAAGATGGCTCTGTGTTTCAGTCTTTGAGCGGATGTGCTGCTCAGAAGTTAAGAATAACCTTCGGAAAACTTCCACTTTTTACATGATGCAGATAGCTGTGAAACACGAGTCTGGTTCTGTTTGTTGTTTCTACCTGTTCAAAGGACCAGAGATAACATTCACTGTGAACTGGTGCTAGCTAAAAAGATGTTTGGTGGCTAGTTCTATGGCTGTGACCCTATATGTACTGTTGATGTAGTTAGGTGCTGTTCTGAGCATTATTTGTGGCTATAGAGTGGTGTTTTGGTTGAGCGTGTGGCTCTCTGTATTGCTATCTACGGTCATTACTAAAGTTGGTATAACTAGAGAAGCAAGCGGTCTGCAACATTCGTCTCTCGACAGGGCGTCTTACTCAGTGTTACTGTGTGTTTGACCTTAACTTAATTTTATCCCGGAATATCCCTTTAACTCTGCTGAGGTTTTCCTGTACCATGCACAACATGAATCTTTACAAAGCAGCTTTTGAACATTTCGGCTGCATGTGCGACTGCATAAGCCAAAATGTTCTCCTTAATTTTACCTTGAACTTTTCCTCCCAGCCTTGAAGTAAAATTTCTGTGTGTGGTCAAAAAGAAAAGCTTTAAGATCAATGCAGGACATATTCTTTGAAATTTACTGCCAGGCAGCCAGCGAGTGGGAGGGTGTCAATGTTAATATCATGAAACTGGTGTGAACTGAAAAGCGCGGCGCATAACAGGAGGAACAAAAACATATTCTCAGGAGAAGATCGGCAAAGATGTCTGCACCTCTGTCTGCTCAGCACTTATATCAACGCAAAAAAAATGTCATCAAAGTGTAGGTCTCTGATACTTTGTCTGTGATCATGCTGTCGAAATTACCTATAGAAAAGAAGACCTATAGACCTTACCTATAGAAAAAAAGAAAACGAAGCATTAGGGCCACGTTAAGAAAAAAAAAAATTTTAGACCTCGGAATTACTTACAAGAATAAAGTCGAAATAAAATCATTTCTCACAAGAACAAAGTCGTAATAAAATCATTACTTACGAGAACGCTCCATCGTAGTCTTTCATTGTATCAAAATCATAAAAACACTTGCTGAAATATCCATGAATTTCACTCAATTTACCAGGTTGTGACGTTGTTTTAGATGTTTCTAATATCAGGAGCAGGGGCGTAATGTTTGCCGATTATTTGTTTTGCCGATTCGTGCAGTTTACAGCACAACAGCTCCTTGTCATTTTCTTTCTCCGTTGACTCCGCTAGTAACCAAATAAGAAAGGTCCCGTTTTCTGCCCCAAGGCTGCGCGCGCATACCTGCGATGACTGTGCACAGAAACCCGTCTATAGCCGCAAATAATGCTCAGAACAGCACCTAACTTCATCAACAGTACATCTAGGGTCCCAGCCAAAGCACTAGCCACCAAACATCTTTTTAGCTTTGCCTGATTTCTTTAGCAAAGAGACTCAACACATCTCACACACTCTCTTCCAGCAGCCGCTTGTTTGTAGCGAGACCTCAGATCAGTCCATTATGGACTACAGCGGGGTGACGCAGCTCAAGGAAGAACATTTCTGATAATTTCTTCATGGAAATACAATCAGACCGAGACGTTAAGGCAGAAGAACTACTGCGTCTGCAGTACTGGTTGGAAGGTCACATAATTTATCAGTATAGCACAAATATTGAGATGAGGATATAATGGGGTGCTCATTCTTTTCTGAGGTGCTTCTTGCTTGTTTCTCTCTCTCCTGTCATCTAGAACCTGCATTTCTGTATCTTTTATGAGACATCCTCTTTTAGCGGTTAAGTCAGCTGGGGTGTGGCAGCTATAGCGCACAGACTCATTGTTTACTACCTAAAAAGAAGACAAAGAAGAAGGGATTTAAGTGAGATTTGTGCCTGTATGTGTGTGTGTGTGTTTATAAGTAAATGTGTGAAAGAGTGGGCAGCAGTCTTTGTGAAGATGACGTTGAATGATAAGTGTGTACGCACGTTGGTTCCTCATGAACAAAGCACTTTAGAATACGATAATGAGACTTGGACGTCAGAGGCCTCTGAGATTTTAGCCAGAGAAATCACACAAATCACTGTTATCACGACTCCTGTTGGGAAAAAGTTTGGATGAGTGTTCAAAATTTACATACAAAAGAAGCGCAGACAACTCTAAATCATGTGTCTGTTGCATGTGTGTGGAAAAGAATTTCCTTTTTCACATACCTGTTCTCTTCATTGTCACTTTCCTGCATTTTTATATTGTGATGCCGCTGAAATGACTGGTTTCATCCGGCACAATCAAGTCTTTCTAGGATTCAGTGTATTTCCAACCTCCTCTTGACTTTTTCCTGTTTGCAGAACAATAAAAAAAAGCCTTGCACCAGCTCCTTTTTTAGAAAATATTATATATCAGGATAGACATTTGGATGGTTTTATGTTTTTCTCTCTTCCTCCCATTAGCCAGGGGTAAAACGATAATGACGGTAATGACAAGGCTGCCATGCAAAGAGGGATTTCAAGTCGTTGACTGAGAGGAGTAGATCAAAAGTGCTCTGTGAAGACGGTGCTGCTGTCTGGAAAGCCCACCGTCTTACATCATGCTATTTTTATTATGCATATCCATCACAAACAACTCTTAGACGACACTGGTGTCCTCACTCTGACACTTTCATTTTTCAAAAATAGATGTAGTCTCTTACTGCGAAAGAACTGCTTTAAACACAAGCCCAATAAACTCTTGATTCTAGTCAGACTTAAAAGGGTCCCTTGGTCCAAATTACAGAACCACAACAAATGGTTTCTCCATTTCTCCCTCTGTTAATGTGCATTTCAAATTTGCCAATTAGTGTGGGAGATATGATTAGTCTGATTATGACACATCAGATTCCCTGTTTTTGTTATTTTGGCTTGTGTTTAAACAAAGTGTGTCAGATGGGTTGCATCATTTTATGTCTGGCGATATCTTGTTGAACCATTTCATACAATCAAGCTGTGTCCTAATATATTGTATCATTGTGGAGCGTTTTGTTTCATATCATATTAGGGGCTTTTTTGTTTGAAATCTTACCTTTATGTATTACATGATATCGTTTAGTCTTACATGAGTCTGGTTCTGCGCAATGTTATTTTTCAGCTCAACTGTAACTTGCTAAGGTGTTACACTCATGTGGTTGAAGATGAGATGGGAGTGGGTCTGATCTTCAAAGATGGGGCTCAATCTTTACACTGGGATATTGTCCACTACTGTCCATTACCTTGTCCTTTACCTCCACGACCTCCCCTCTCCCACCTGTCTGACCTCGTTGTCCGCTACACACCGAACCGCCCCCTCCGCTCAGCTGATGCAAACCTCCTCTCACCCCCAGCCAAAATCAAGCACCGTACCCTGGGGAACCGGGCCTTCAGCGTCTCCGCCCCCACCCTCTGGAACGCCCTCCCTAAACATATCCGTGAATGCTCGGACCTCATCAGTTTTAAATCTGCCCTCAAAACCCACCTTTTCACACTCGCTTTTATCACCTGACCCCCCTGACTCACCATTATCCCGCCCCTCCCACTTATATTCTTATATTCTTTTTATTCGATTTAACCTTATTTTTAGCTTGTTACTATTAATCTTTGCCTCACTCTATTTTTGTTATGTCTTTGTAAAGTGTCTTTGAGCTTCTGTAAAAGCGCTATACAAATAAAATGTATTATTATTACATGGCTATCTGTCGAGATAGCCATGAGCGATACTGTAAGAGAGGTGACTCCACCTTGTCAAAATCCACACGTTTATATTAAAAAGGGTGTATCTTATCTCTCCCAGATTAAGTGAATTTGATAGCCCACAATTTAACAGTAGGGAGCTCTTAGCAGTGATTGGACTGTAGGATAGGAAGGATT